AATAAATGCAGTGCGTGGTGGGCATGTACTCAGCGTTTACTGATGCCTCTGCAGTGAAAAGCCTCAACACATAGGGTGGGCTGGCAGGAGACTGGTGCGGGGAGCTCCGTTTGGGCGGGATTGCGGGAGAGGCTCCACAGGGGCCCCGGGGATGGCGGGGAGTCCAGAGTTGGGAAGGTTGCGGCTTGCAGGTTGCAGGTACTGAGGAAGCTCAGGGCTACTCCGGCATCAGCTCTTGCATTCTGAAGCTGGTTTTGGTCCCAAAGAGAAAACTGTTTAGGCTGTTGGTGCAGGTCCAGACTACCTGGTTCCTCCCCTCCTGGCCCTGCTGCTGCCACCCAGCCGCCCGCTGGAAGGCCTGTCCACTGTGCTCGGCCCTTCATCTCTCCCCAGCTGCTCAGGGCAGTAAAAGGGAACTGGGAAGACCCAGCGGGCTTCGTCCACCTTTCTGTCCTGCACCCGCAGCGACCAGCAGCAGCATTCCAGTGGCACCTGTTTTGTTGGCCCTGGATGGAGGAAGACGGGCAGAGCAGAGCCGCTGACCAGTGGTGAACAGGGACCCCTGGCTTCCAGCGGGGAGATTCAGTGCCCATCTGTCAGCACAGTGCAGTCAGGCTTGACTGAATGAGGTGTGGTGATTGCCTTCTCCATGTCCCAGCTCCTTCCTCTGGAAACACAGCCTCTCTGGGGGTTAATATCAGAAGAGGAGATGAACACAGTGCAGGGCTGTTCAAGGAGAGTGTGGCTGGGAGCAGGCAGACTGAGTGGTATCTGCACCGTCCCCCTGGGGCTGTTAGTGGAGGGACAGACCACATGCGCGCTTGGGGCCTCAGGCCAGCCTGAGTTCAGCCCTCCGCACCTCATGCCGGCCCAGCCCTGGCACCACTGAAGCCTGTCCGGCCCTCTGGGCACCGGCCAGGGCCTGGTCCTGGAAGCTGAGTGGTCCCACTACCCATGAACAAAGCAAGCGACAGAAGCCCCTCGGCACTGGCTCGGGCAGCACACAGGATTAAGGAGCCGCTTCAGGACCCCCAGGAATCTGGATTTTCTAGGCTGTCAGAGAGGTCTCTGGCCCCTCCCTGCCTCTCATCTCTGCAGGCCCCATGTGGCCTCGGGCTCCAACCGCTGACCGGCCTTCCCCAGGTCTGACACCATCTCAGCCCGGGCTGCAGAGTACAGCGCCCTCTCTCGCCCCAGCTCCTGGAGAAGCGGGTGGTGGGGGTTCCAGAGTGACCTAGGGGAAGAGAGGGAGAGGAGCATTCCCAGAAGGAAGGGGTCCCGAGCAGAAGCAAGCCACAGGCCCCCAGATGCACCCCTGAACCTTTCGGAAAAGAAAAGCCAGTGTGTGTCCCATGAGGAAGCCGTCGTCGTAGCCTCTGAACAAGAAAGCTCCCTCCGGGCACCTGGTTGTAGAAGCGACACGTGCGTGATAGGAGACTGGGACACGTGGGAACATCTGGAGAAAAAAACCTTTCGCCACCTGCGTCCTGGGGTGTGGTTGTCAGCCTCATCTGCACCATCGGAAAACAAACTCAGTATGCAATTTATGATATGCTTTGGGGCTTAAAAACAAAACAGGCTTTCTCCGTGTTTTACAAGATCATCAATGACTGCTGTTTGTCAAGATTTCACTTTTTGAGAAAACTTTTGACAAAGCCCGTTTTCCCTATTATATAAACAGAATATGTCATAGAAAATTTGGGAAATGGGGAAAAGTAGAAAGAAATCACACTAGTTCACACCACATGGCAGAAATGTACCTTTTAGTTTTTTTATATCTATACAGATTTCTTCCCCGAATCTTTTTAGAATGGATTGCATCCATTATGTCTCTTGGTACCGTAACCCTTTAGTGTGTATTTCCTATATTCAACGACATTCTCTTACAAAACCACAGTGCAGGTACCAAATCCCGGTAATTGGACATTGGTACAATGCTCAGCAAAGCGAGCCTTCTCGTTGTGCTCGTGGCATTTTCCCTCCAACCCAGCATCCATTCTGGGATCCTAGCCTGCCTGTGGTCACTGTGTCTCCTGAGGAATCTATAGTGTGGAGCAGTTCCTCAGCCTTTCTTTTCTCCCGAGATGATTTATTACTTGCAAGGGGAAAATGGTGCCCACATGGTCAAAAAACCAGAGGACACTGACCGTGTGATCAAAATGGTCACTAGCCAGTGAAGAGCCCGTGGACACCATGTCCCTCCACGTGACGCCCAGAGGACACGTGGTTGCAGGATTCCAGCTGGAGAGGTGCGACCTGTGTCCAGTGATGCGGAAAGGGAAGGGAATGGGCAAAGCTCAGAGGGAGGCGAGAACGAGCCTGGCGTGTTCAGGGAGCGGTGACTGGTTTCACAGTTGGGGGGAGCTGGAGGAAGAGGTGACACTGGACAGGTGGGTGGAAGCTGATGGAGGTAAGGTCTGCTGCCATCCGGGCACTGGGCCACCATCAAAGGCCCAGCCCAGCTGTGAGGGTGCCAGTCTGCACCCGTGCTTCTGTCTGGGCTAAGAACCCGGGGTGGGTGCCAGAGCAGCGACTTCCGTAGAAGGAGACTCTTGCGGAGGGACATTGTCAGGGAGCAGGGAGTCATTTCAAGGGCTCTCTGGGCTGTGGGGTTTCTGGAAGCAGGTTAGAATGAGGTGGCTGAGGAGAGACCACAGGAGTCATCTACAGGAAAGTGCCCAGAGCACGGAGAGACAACTCAGCGATGGGCTGGGGACAGGACATTCGGCGCCTAAGCCCCACGACACGTGTTTAAGGCAGACGCTGTGAAGGTTCCTCAGCCGGGATTAAACACAAGAGTACCCACTCTGCAGAGGACCCCAAGGCCACCGTTCCTGTGGGAAGCCTGCAGCCCCACGTCACGTGTGGAGCCCAGAGAACTCCCGACCTTGGGAACTGAATCCTGCCCACAGCCACGTGAGACCCCAGGGGAGACCCCAGTCGTGGCCAACACCTTGCCTGCAGCCTAGGAGAGACCCCAGCCCAGGACCGAACAGGCTGTGCCCGGACTCGTGCAACACAAGGAAGCCGTGAGATCATAAACCCATGATGCTTCAAGCCCTTAAGTGTGTGGTCACTGAAAACCAGCGGTGAGGGAAACCCGGAGAATGTGGCGCAGCGGCCCGACGCGCGGGAGGAAGGGGATTTCTGCGCTGCCCCCGGCTTAGGAGGGGGATCCACCTGCGGAGGACCAGCCGCTGTGAGGCTCTGGCGCCCAGGCCGGGCAGGCTCGGGGCGCCCTCCCCTCCCCCCTTTCTCCACGGGCGCTGACTTCATGCGTCCGTGCATTCGCTTATTCCGCAGTCAGCAAGGTCACCTAACCCGGCTTACTCCCCGGACCACAGGCCTGGACCTGGTGGAGGCCACGCGGCCCGGGGGGTGGGGGGGGTCCGGGAGGCGTCCCAGAGGTGCGGGAAGTGAAGCCCTGCAGGGGCGGGAGCGGTCGGTGTGAAGGTGGCCGGACAGCAACCGAGGGTCTTGCATGCGAAGCTAGGAAATCCGCGCATAGCTCGCGAAGGCAGGCCCACCCCCACCCCCACCCCGCGGCCTCCAGGGCAGCTGAGTGCGGGTCCTCCGGCGCCCTAGAACGTCACCGGAAGTGCCCGAGCCGCCCGGGAGAGGGAGGCGGCGTTTCCGGCGGGCGGCGGGGGCTCCGGGTAAGTGGTGGCGGACCGGGGCTTGGGAAGGGGTTGGCAGACGATGGGCCGCGCCCGCGAGGGAAGTAGAAATATGGGCGCAAGGACGGGCCGTCCCTACGGGGCATGGGGCCCTTATCTGTCCTGGGCTCTCCCTGCGAAAGGGCTCACATCCGGGAGGAGAGCGGAAGCGAGGGGCGGCCCTACTCCCGCCGTGTGACGGCCCCGGGGACAGCCTTCCCCGCCCGTTGTGACGACCAGTGTGAAGGCCCCGGGACAGCCTCAGACAGTTCCCTGAAGTGAAATCACAGTTTAATTTTAAGGCCTTTGTAAATCATCGAATTATCCGCCGTCCAGTGCACTTTTTCTTCTTCCAGCGGTGTATGAAGGTGCCTGTTTCCCCTAATTGTCTGTATGCTCATAAGGTGCCACTGTTTTTAAGCCTTATTTTTTTTTTAATATTTACTTATTTTAGGCTGCGTCAGGTCTCAGTTGTGGCTTGGGGGAACTTCCGCTGAGGCACGCGGTTCCCTCGTTGTGGCACCTGGGCTTTTCTAGTTGCGGGCGCATGGGCTCCGGAGTGCACGGCTCCGTACTTGTGGCGCTCGGGCTTAGCTGCTCCGTGGCATGTGGGATCTTAGTTCCCCGATCAGGGATGGAACCCGTGTCCCCTGCACTGGAAGGCGGTTCCTTAACAAGTGGACCACCAGGGAGGTCCCAGCTACTTGTTTATTTTCTTCTGCTGGTTACCTGTCCATAACTTTAACTAGTTTTTTTGTGCTTTTTCATGTATATATAGTGGGTTTTTAGATATTGAGGATATGAATCTTTGTGTTGCAAATATCCCTCCGTTTTTTTTTTTTTTCCTTTTGTTTTTGACAGTAAATATCCTTGTGTAGTTAGATCTGTCACACTTTACCTTTGGTGGCAAGCTTAGCAAAAGCGTTCCTCAATCCAGAATTGCGCCATTCAGATCGTTACTTTTTTGGTTTCATATATTTATATTCAGATCTTTTGTTATTATCAAGAAAAAATATAAATGCATAGAAATTTTTCCACACATCCGAGGACTGACTAAAGGTGCTCGTTGGTTCCTGGTGGAGCTGAGACCACAGTGGGCAGGTAACAGGTGCTGCCACATCTATCTCTGCTCCTGATCTGCTGGGGGGCGGGGGTGGGGGAGCCAGCATGGCCTAGACAGTTCCCAGAGGGTGTCCCGTGGAACACTGGTTTCTGGGATGTTTGCTTATTCAGACCTTGGTTTATAGTGAGGTGGCTCCTTCAGGGCCCTCTGGGCAGGCTCTGAGCCTCCCTTCTCTGAAGGCACTCTGACCTCACCCGCACCCTTCCTTTCTCTTTCTCCCAGGCAGGTGTCCTACTACTGGTGTTTCTGCGGCAAGCAGCAAGCAGAGCCCCAGCCTGAGTCCACAGAACGCCCCAGAGAGGCGACCCTGATGGACACGTGCACAGGTGAGGGAGGCAGGCAGGCCCAGAGGGCCATCCTGGGGTCAGGGACGTGGGGACAGCTTAGGAATCGGGGCTCCCAAGTCCATCTGCCTGGCTGCTACTAACCATCACAGCTTCTAACCATCACAGCTCCCCACCTCCATGCCTGCTGTGCTCCCTCAGCCCCTCCCTCCTTTGTTCTCCTGGACACACTCTATACCCTGCTCTCTCTTTCTCTGGTCCCCCCACCTGGAGACCTCTGAGAACAAGAATTTTATTTTTTAAATTATAGTTGACTTACCGTGTTGTGTTACTTTCAAGTGTACAGCAAAGTGATTCAGTTATATGTACATGTTCTTTTTCGTGTTCTTTTCCATTATAGGTTATTACAAGATAATGAATATAGTTCCATGTGCTGTACAGTAGGATCTTGTTGTTTACCTGTTTTATATATAGCAGTGTGTAGCTGCTGATCCCAAACCCCTAATTTATGCCTCCCTCCGCTCCCTTTCCCCTTTGGTAAACATAAGTTTGTTTTCTGTGTGTCTTTCTGTTTTGTAAATAAGTTCATTTGTATCATTTTTTTTAATTTAATTTTATTTATTTATTTATTTATTTTTGCGGTAGGCGGACCTGTCACTGTTGTGGCTTCTCCCGTTGCGGAGCACAGGCTCCGGACGCGCAGGCTCAGCGGCCATGGCTCACGGGCCCAGCCGCTCCGCGGCATGTGGGATCCTCCCGGACCGGGGTACGAACCCATGTCCCCTGCATCGGCAGGCGGACTCTCGACCACTGCACCACCAGGGAAGCCCCATATTTTTATTTATTTTATTTTAAAAATTATTTTGGCTGCATTGGGTCTTCGTTGCTGCGCGCAGGCTTTGCTCTGGTTGCGGCAAGCAGGGGCTACTCTTTTTTTTTTTTTTGCGGTACGCGGGCCTCTCGCTGTTGTGGCCTCTCCCATTGCGGAGCACAGGCTCCGGACGCGCAGGCTCAGTGGCCATGGCTCACGGGCCCAGCCGCTCCGCGGCATGTGGGATCTTCCTGGACCGGGGCACGAACCCGTGTCCCCTGCATCGGCAGGCGGACTCTCAACCACTGCGTCACCAGGGAAGAGGGGCTACTCTTCGTTGCAGCGCGCGGGCTTCTCATTGCAGTGGCTTCTCTTTGTTTTGGAGCACGGGCTCCAGGCACGCAGGCTTCAATAGTTGTGGCACTTGGGCTCAGTAGTTGTGGCTCATGGGCTCTAGAGTGCAGGCTCAGTAGTTGTGGCACACGGGCTTAGTTGCTCCGCGGCATGTGTGATCTTCCCAGACCAGGGGCTCGAACCCGTGTCCCCTGCCTTGGCAGGCAGATTCTTAACCACTGTGCCAGCCGGGAAGCCCCTGTATCCTTTTTTTAGATTCCACATATAAGTGATATTATGTGATATTTGTCTTTGTCTGACTGACTTCACTTAATATGATAATCTGTTGCTGCATGTTGCTGCAAATGGCATTATTTCATTCTTTTTATGGCTGAGTAGTATTCCATTATATATATATGTACCATATCTATTCATCTATCGATGGACATTTAGGGTGCTTCGTGTCTTGGCTATTGTGAATAGTGCTGCTATGAACACTGGGGTGCATGTATCCTTTCGAATTAGAGTTTTTTCTGGATGTATGCCCAGGAGTGGGATTGCTGGGTCATATGGTAATTCTATTTTTAGTTTTTTAAGGAACCTCCATACTGTTCTCCATAGTGGCTGCACCAATTTACATCCCCACAAACAGTGTAGGAGGGTTCCCTTTTCTCCACACCCTCTCCAGCATTTATTATTTGCAGACTTTTTGATGATGGTCATTTTGACCAGTGTGAGGTGAAACCTCATTGTAGTTTTGATTTGCATTTCTCTAATAATTAGCAATGTTGAGCATCTTTTCATGTGCCTGTTGGCCATCTGTATGTCTTTGGAAAAATGTCTGTTTAGGTCTTCTGCCCATTTTTTCGATTGAGTTGTTTTTTTGTTATTGAGTTGGATAAGCTGTTTGTATATTTTGAAAATTAAGCCCTTGTCAGTCGCAATGTTTGCGAATATTTTCTCCCATTCCATAGGTTGTCTTTTTGTTTTGTTTATGGTTTCCTTTGCTGTGCAAAAGCTTTTAAGTTTGATTAGGTCCCATTTGTTTATTTTTGCTTTTATTTCTTTTGCTTTTGGAGACTGATCTAAGAAAACATTGCTACAATTTATGTCAGAGAAGGTTTTGCCTATGTTCTGTTCTAGGAGTTTTATGGTGTCCTGTCTTATGTTTAAGTCTTTAAGCCATTTTGAGTTTATTTTTGTGTGTAGTGTGAGGGAGTGTTCTAACTTCATTGACTTCCATGTGGCTCTCCAGCTTTCTCAGCACCACTTGGCTGAAGGGACTGTCTTTTCACCATTGTATTCTTGCCTCCTTTGTCTAAGATTAATTGACCATAGGTGTGTGTGTTTATTTCTGGGCTCTCTGTTCTGTTCCATTGATCCATATGTCTGTTTTTGTGCAAATACCATGCTGGGTTTTTGTGGGGTTTTTTTGAATTTTATGTATTTTTTGATACAGCAGGTTATTAGTTATCCATTTTATACACATCAGTGTATACATGTCAATTCCAATCTCCCAATTCATCCCACAACCCTCCCCGCACCCCCACCACCGCTTTCCCCCCTTGGGTCCATACGTTTGTTCTCTACATCTGTGTCTCTATTTCTGCCCTGCAAACCGGTTCATCTGTACCATTTTTCTAGGTTCCACATACATGCGTTAATATACGATATTTGTTTTTCTTTTTCTGACTTACTTCACTCTGTATGACAGTCTCTAGATCCATCCACATCTCTACAAATGACCCAATTTCGCTCCTTTTTATGGCTGAGTAATATTCCATTGTATATATGGGCCACATCTTCTTTATCCATTTGTCTGTCGATGGGCACTTAGGTTGCTTCCATGACCTGGCTATTATAAGTAGTGCTGCAGTGAACATTGGGGTGCATGTGTCTTTTTGAATTATGGTTTTCTCTGGGTATATGCCCAGTAGTGGGACTGCTGGGTCATATGGTAGTTCTATTTTTAGTTTTTAAGGAACCTCCATACTGTTCTCCATAGTGACTGTATCAATTTACATTCCCACCAACAGTGCAAGAGCGTTCCCTTTTCTCCACACCCTCTCCAGCATTTATTGTTTCTAGATTTTTTGATGATGGCCATTCTGACTGGTGTGAGGGGATACCTCATTGTAGTTTTGATTTGCATTTCTCTAATAATTAGTGATGTTGAGCAGCTTTTCATGTGCTTCTTGGCCATCTGTATGTCTTCTTTGGAGAAATGTCTATTTAGGTTTTCTGCCCATTTTTGGATTGGGTTGTTTGTTTTTTTAATATTGAGCTGCATGAGCTGTTTATGTATTTTGGAGATTAATCCTTTGTCCGTTGATTCATTTGCAAATATTTTGAGAGTTGTCTTTTCGTCTTGTTTGTAGTTTCCTTTGCTTTGCAAAATCTTTTAAGTTTCATTAGGTCCCATCTGTTTATCTTTGTTTTTATTTCCATTACTCTAGGAGGTGGATCGAAAAAGATCTTGCTGTGATTTATGTCAAAGAGTGTTCTTCCTGTGTCTTCCTCTAAGAGTTTTATAGCGTCTGGTCTTACGTTTAGGTCTCTAATCCATTTTTAGTTTATTTTCGTGTATGGTGTTAGGGAGTGTTCTGATTTCATTCTTTTACATGTAGCTGTCCAGTTTTCCCAGCACCATTTATTGAGGAGGCTTTTTCTCCATTGTATACCCTTGCCTCCTTTGTCATAGATTAGTTGACCATAGGTGCGTGGGTTTATCTCTGGGCTTTCCATCCTGTTCCATTGATCTATATTTCTGTTTCTGTGCCAGTACCATATTGTCCCTTGATTATTGTAGATTTGTAGTAGAGTCTGATTCCTCCAGCTTCGATTTTTTCCCTCAAGACTGCTTTGGCTATTTGGGGTCTTTTGTGTCTCCATACAAATTTTAGGATTTTTTGTTCTGGTTCTGTAAAAAATGCCATTGGTGATTTGATAGGGATTGCATTCAATCTGTAGATTGCTTTGGGTAGTAGAGTCATTTTCACAGTATTGATTCTTCCAATCCAAGAACATGGTATATCTCTCCATCTGTTTGTATCATCTTTAATTTCTTTCACCAGTGTCTTATAGTTTTCTGCGTACAGGTCTTTTGTCTCCCTAGGTAGGTACCGTGCTATTCTGATTACTGTAGCTTTGTAGTATTGTCTGAAGTCTGGGAGGGTTATGCCTCCAGCTTTGAGGAACAAGAGTATTAATTCTTGGCTTTGTCTCACCAGGGCCCAGCAGTGTCAACTGGCCTAGGCTCAGGGTTGGTGACCAGGAAGTGTGTGGTGGATGACAATCTGGCTGGCCTCCCGCCCACTGGCCACCTCCCTCTCGGGCTCCAGGCCCCTCTGTTCTGAAGATTTCAGGCCACATTTGGGGGAGGGCTCATATTCAGTTGCCTGTTGTTGCTGTTGTTGAATTGTCACATGACCTGTGCTAACAACCAGGCCATCTTCCCTTGGCAAAGACACATGCCATTTCAAGCTTTTCCCCATCATACTCTACCCTAAGGTTCTGGTTCAGCAGTGGGAGCCTGGGGAGAACATGACCGTGGCTCCCCCAAACACACCTGGAACTGCTCTCCCAGGAAGTCACAGAACCCCCGTGTCGGGTGGTTCAGCCACCGTGTCCCTGCACCTCATCCCTCAGGGTGTGAGTTGGGGATGACCCAGAGGTGCAGCCATGGAGCCACCCTTCAGGCCCAGTACTTCCAGGCCACTGTCTCCCTCCCTTGTCTGACCCTACTCCTGACCAGATCTGGCCCAGACAGCACTCTTCAGTCTCACAATTTGGGGCTAGATTTTAGCAAATGCCACCATACACAGTGTGTGGAGGAAAAAACAGGTTACCAAAAACATCCCATTCAGAAAAGGAATAAAGAGAAAGCACCCTGTCTGGGTTGCTGGCCTGAGCATATAGTATGAGATGTACGGCCTGAAGGGAGGTGAGGCTGAGGGCTGGGCCCCAGTGTCAGAGTGGTGACCAGCATCTGTGCCAGGGGACTGAGCTTCTTGGTTAGGACGTCTGGCAGCCCAGGTTCTGCCTTCTGGGCACACTCCTGGGCACTTGGGCTGGAGGTGCCTCTGTTGGGGGCGGCCTCCCTGGCTTTTCCCCACTAGGTGCCAGGAGTGCCCCTTGCCCACTGTGACACCGGAAGTGTTTTCAAACATGGCCACACGTGCCTGCTCTGCTGCCAACCTCTTCTCTCTGCATTCCAGGCCATGAGGCTGTACCAGGGTGTCACCAGAGCCTGGGGGTCTGTCACCCCCAACTCGTGAGACCAGGCAGACTGCGGTTAGAGGCTTGGGCCTTTTCTGGAGTCACAGGGAAGCCTGCTGATTAGCTCTCTCCCAGTCCCTTGTCCATTCCTGCGACCACAGGTGTTAGAAGTCGGGGAGGAGAGCTGGGCAGGAGGAGGACAGGCGGGATAATGGGTTTCTGCTGCCCAGTGGCGTCTTACTGTTCCCTATCATCACGTGGCTCTCCCGTGCCATCCATGTGTCGTCAGCAGAGTTCTAAGTTGTGCATCTCTCCCCCTTTTCCAGCTTTCCTAGCACAGGCACCGAGTGGCGGCCCGGCTTCCTGCTACGCTGCTTTGGTGGCTGAGCAAGGGGCTCAGAGCCCAGGGCTGATGCTACGACAGGCAACCTTAGAAGAAGGGGGGCGCCGTGGACAGGCTGTGCCAGGACTGTTACGGGGGCCTCCCCGGACACTGCGGTTTCCAGACCCTTGTGGGAATGAGGAAGCTAGAGAGAGGCCCAAAGGTTCCCCTCGGGGACCAGTTGTTTATGAGGAAACTGGAGGGCAGAATGGCCGTGAGGACAGTGTGTCCGGGTCAGAGGTCACCCTGAATGCAGCCTCCACAGCCGATAGGAGAGGCCACTGGAAAGGACGGCCTTACCGATGCAGCACCTGCGACAGGAGCTTCAAATGCTATTCAGATGTGGTGAAACACCAGAGCATTCACTCTGGGGAGAAACCCTACGAGTGCAGCGACTGTGGGAAGGCCTTCATCCACAGCTCCCACGTCGTCAGGCACCAGCGCATTCACAACGGGGAGAGGCCTTACGTTTGTAAGGAGTGTGGGAAGGCCTTCAGCCAGAGCTTCAACCTCATCAGACACCAGAGAATCCACACGGGAGAGAAGCCCTACGAATGTGCTGAGTGTGGCAGGTCCTTCAGTCAGAGGTCAGATGCCATTAAGCACCAGAGAATTCACACTGGCGAGCGGCTGTATGAGTGCAGCGAGTGCGGGAAAACCTTCATCCATAGCTCAAATGTCGTCCGACACCAGAGAATTCACCACGGAGAGAATCCTTACGAATGCAAAGAGTGTGGGAAAGCCTTCAGCCAGAGCTCCAACCTCATTCAGCACCAGCGGGTCCACACTGGGGAGAAGCCCTACGCCTGCCAGGAGTGTGGGCGCGCCTTCAGCCGCAGCTCCTTCCTCAGTGAGCACCGGCGCATCCACACCGGGGAGAAGCCCTACGAGTGCGGCGAGTGTGGCCGCGCCTTCAGGGCCCTGTCGGGCTTCTTCCGGCACCAGAGGATCCACACTGGGGAGAAGCCTTTCCACTGTGCCAGGTGTGGCAGGGCCTTCCGCCTGAGCTTTCATCTTATCCAGCACCAGCGAGTTCACGGCACGGAGTGAGCCTGTTGGGGGGTGAACATGGAGTGGAAAATTGAGTAAAGAAGATTGGAGTGTGGGTACAACACCCTTCACTTTTTGCCCACTCCCCCAGCTTTATGTACTTTGCCCCACAGGAAGAGGATAAAACTGTCTTGCTGGTCTCCAAGCCTGCCCGTGGAGGCCTGCAGTTTGTCTGCCGCCGCCTTGCCAGGAGCACTGGAAAGGAAAGAGGAGCCTTGGGGAAGGAGACGTGATGGCAACATGTGCCTCGGAAGTTAATTTATTTCATTTTCACAGCACTGGGTTTTTTCCTGAAGTATAATTTACATATAGTGGAACACATAAATCTTAAGTGTTTGGTTTTATGAGTTTCAACAGTACAATGTGCTTTGACCTTTACAACCACCACACTCTGAAGATGTAGACTATTTCCATCACCCCAGAAAGTCTCCTTGTGCCCCTTCAAGTCAGCCCCTCATCCTGAGAGGCAACCAGTGATCTCGTTTCTGTCACTATAGTTTTGCTTGTTCTAGAACGTTATATAAATAGTGATATAATTTATACTCTTTTATGTCTTTTTCCCTTTGCTTAATGTTTTTTGAGGTTTATCCATGTATCAGTAGGTTTTGGGGGTTCTTTCGTGTTTTTTTTCAGTTTCATAGCTCTTTTGAGAAGTCAAGAATCACTTTCTACCCTGTATCAAAGCTATATGCTTATGTCTGTGTCTTTTATCAAAGTATGAGCCCCTGTAGCTAAAATTATTTTAGCACAGCCCCGGATACAGGACGTGCACTCCACAAAAAAATAAGTACCTGAAATGTGCAGGGGAGTTTATGAAAGACAGGCATAGAGGAGAGACCATAGGCTTGGCTGGAAGGAGGAGGTACTGGTTCACTTGCTTTCATGCCATTTCGGAGTATACAGAACTCTTCTCAGGCTCAGGAAGGTAGTATAAGATAAAACAAGTTTAAGATGTTTGTACTTCCAACAGACATTTCCTAAGCACTTAGCTGTCCAGGCTCTACGCCACTGTTGTAGGAAACACAAAGCCACTGTGCTGGCTGCATTCAAGGACTGTAGGTAAAAGTCCAGTAACAGAAGTATATAGAGGGAACTAGTGACACAGGAGCGCAGTAAACAAGACTGGGGCAAGGGAAAAACGGGGGTGAACACCCAGGGGAGGGGATTCCTGAGCAGATGGATTAAATGTGTACAGAGCAAAGGTCAGGGCACACTAGCGGACCGTGAAGAGCATGAGAAGTGTGCTCACCCATAGGACCTTCCAGTTCGTAGCTGGGAGGTCAGACAAAAAGTGTATGTAAAACAGTAGTCTAGGTGAGCTCACTGCTCATGATCTGCTATTTCATATCACAGTACGGTAGTGTTACAGATACCTACAAATGCTATTTGCCAGATAGGAAGCGACAGGTGTCTTTGTTGGGGATGATACTCTGTACATATCATACAACTGCTGTAACAAATTGAGTGAGGTCATGTTATTGAAAGTTTACTGTAATGACTAAGACAAATCTGAGCAGTCACCTGGCCACAAGTCCTGGGGGTCCAGCTGCAGGACCCAAATCCGTCCTAGTCAAGCTGTGGTTTGGTGCCACTTTGTGGGAACTGTCTGCTCTAGTTAACTACTGACTGGATTATTTGGGTCCTGTAGCTGGCTGGGACTTCCAAAATAGTAGCTCAGTTCTAGGGCTCTTGTTGGCACCTTGTTTCTTTTATGGTGTGAGCTTAGGCTACAGGGTTGCGCAGCCTGTAGGGGCAGAGTTGCCCACAGAGTGCATTCAGGCACCACAGCTATTGGGCTGCTGACCTGAGCCAAGGTAACGTGGAAAGCTAAGCCTAGAGCTCCCATGCTAAGCCAGGGCCCAGGTTTGTGCCTCCCAGGTAGCTCTTTGGAGGAAAATTTTTCCTACTTAGACCCTGTAGTGTCCCTGATCATGAGATCAAAGCAGTGAGCTTACAGAAATCACCAAGTACACAGGAAGGTGAGTCTCATTGACTGGGGGTCTACAAAGTCAACAAAGAACAGATATAAAACCACAAAAACTGCAGATACTGAAATTGCCAGATAATGCAGGCAAGAGAGTAGTTACACATGAAGTGTTTGAAAAACCAGATACCTTCCCGCTAAAATCTGGACAAGACAAGGATGCCCGCTGTCACCATTTCTGTTCAACATAGACAGTACTGGAAGTCCTCGCCACGGCAGTCAGACAAGAAAAAGAAATAAAAGATCCAGATTACAAGGGAAGAGATAAAATTGTCATTATATGCAGATGACATGATACTGTATATAGAAAGCCCTAAAGGGTCCACACAACAACTACTAGAACTCATAAATTCAGCAGGGTAGCAAAATACAATATCAACATACAGGAACCTGTTGCTTTACACTAACAATGACATATTGGAAAGGGAAAGTAAAAAAAAAAAACAATCCCTTTTAAGATCGCATCAAAAAAATAAACAAAATACTTAGGAACACACCTGATCAAGGAGGTGAAAGACTCATATGCTGAGAACTATGAAACATTGATAAAGGAAACTGAAGATGATTTAAAATGGAAAGACAGGCTTTTGGGTTGGAAAAATTAATGTTATTAAAATGGCCATACTACCCAAAGCAATCTACAGATTTAATGTGATCCCTATCAAATTACCCATGACGTTTTTTCACAGAACTAGAATAAGTAATCCTAAAATTTATACGGAACCATGAACGACCAGAATTGCCAAAGCAGTCCTGAGGAAAAAGAACAAAACAGGAGGCATAACCCTCCCAGACTTCAGACAATACTACAAAGCTACAGTAATCAAACAACATGGTATTGGCACAAAAACAGACATACGGATCACCAGAATAGAGAGCCCAGGAATAAACCCACACACTTACCATCAGTTAATCTTCGACAAGGGAGGCAGAAATATGCAATGTAGAAAAGACAGTCTCTTCAGCAAGTGGTGTTGGGAAAGTTGGACGGCTGCATGTAAATCAATGAAGTTAGAACACTCCCTCACACTATACACAAAAATAAACTCAAAATGGCTTAAAGACATATAAGACATGACAACATAAAACTCCTAGAAGAAAACACAGGCAAAACGTTCTGACATAAATCATAGCAACGTTTTCTTAGGTCTCCCAAAGCAAAAGAAATAAAAGCAAAAATAAACAAATGGGACCTAGTCAAATGTAAAAGCTTGAAAGGGCAGCAAAGGAAACCATAAACAAAACAAAAGACAACCTATGGAATGGGAGAAAATATTTGCAAATGTTGTGACTGACAAGGGCTTAATTTCCAAAATATACAAACAGCTCATCCAACTCAATTAACAGAAAAAATAAACAACTCAATCAAAAAATGGGCAGAAGACCTCAACAGACATTTCTCCAAAGAAGACACACAAATGGTCAACAGGCACATGAAAAGATGCTCAACGTCACTAATTATATTAGAGAAATGCAAATCAAAACTACAATGAGGTAATACGTCACACTGGTCAGAATGACCATCATCAAAAAGTCTACAAATAATAAATACTGAAGAGGGTGTGGAGAAAAGGGAACCCTCCTACACTGTTGGTGGGCCTATAAATTGGCTTCCATACTGTGGAAAACAGTATGGAAGTTCCTTTAAAAACTAAAAATAGAGTTACCATATGATCCAGAAATCCCACTCCTGGGCATATATCTGGAGAAAACTAATTCCAAAGGATACATGCATCCCAATGTTCATAACAGCACTATTCACAATAGCTAAGACATCGAAGCAACCTAAATGTCCATCAGCAGGTGAATGGATAAAGAAGATGTGGTATTAGGTTGGCCAAAAAGTTCATTCAGGTTCTTCCATACATCCAAATAAACTTTTTGGCCAAACGAATATATATATCTACGTGTATATATGCACACATACACAATGGAATATTACTCAGCCATAAAAGAGAATGAGATAATGTCATTTGCAGCAACATGGGTGAACCTAGAGATTATCATACTAAGTGAAGTAAGTCAGGAAGAGAAAGCCAAATACCATATGATATCACTTACATGTGGAATCTAAAAAAAAAAAATAATACAAATGAACTTATTTACAAAACAGAAATAGACTCACAGACATAGAAAACAAACTTATGGTTACCGAAGTTGGGGAGTTAAATTAGGAGTTTGGGATTAACATACACACCACTATATATAAAATAAACAACAAGGTCCTACTGTGTAGCAGAGGGAACTGTATTCAATATCTTGTAATAAACTCTAATGAAAGATAATATGAAAAAACATATATGTGTGTGTATATATGTATATATATATATATATAATGTAAATCACTTTGCTATACACCAGAAATAAACACAGCATTGTAAATCAACAATACTTCAATTTTAAAAAAAGAATAAAAAAGAAGACAGACACAGTGACAAGAAAGCAATAAGAGACTACCACTCATGAAAAGGCAGGCTTTTAAAGTAGAACTTTTAGAAATGAAAATTATAATCACTGAAATAGAATTCAATGGGTAGGTTAAGTAGCAGATTAGACACAGCTGAAGAAAGCATTAGTGTAGTGGAAGAAACATGCAGGGAGGCCCAGAATACCACAGGGACGAGGAGATGGGGAACATGAAGGAAATGTTCAAAGATCTGTAGAAGATAATAAGGTCTGACATAGATGTGACAAGAATCCCAGGAGGAGAGAGTGAAGGAGAGGAGATACAGCAAAACCCTACACTGACCCCCATGAGTATGCAGATCCTCTCCCACAGGCCATCCAGGCAGAGAAACAACAGCCAACCCCATCTGGTGAAGATGAGTGTCTGCATCCCCAGTTTTAACCTCAACCAGTCTCCCCGTAAAATCAGGCCAATGAAACAATCAATTAAAGGAGAGATTGTTGAAATTGTTATCTATGTCCTGGAAGTTCCAGCCATTCTCAAGACCCAGAATCAATATCTTCAGTGTTTAAGCCAGAGTGGACAACTGCCAACAAGTCGTGCCAACCTACAGCTGAGAATGGAGGGCCTGACTGCTTGGATGGACTTCCGCAACTTCTGGTGGCCCCTGTGCCACAATCACAGTACTGTGACTCTGCAGTTTACACCCCACTCACGGTGTTCCAGCAAGGCTTCTCTGTATTTAATGAAAAACATAAATTCACAGATGCAGGAAGTATAATGATATGCAACAGCACAAATAAAAAGAAATCCACACCTGGACACAACACAGTGAGAACACAGACCAGCAAGACGAAGACCTTGAGGAGCCAGAGAAAGACGCCATCACCAGCAATCACAGTCACGCCATCACCACCATCACAGTCACACTATCACACTGCTCAAGGCAACAGTAAGAGACAGAAGACAGTGGATTCGTGTCTTCAGTGCGTTGAGAGAAAATACCTGTCCATCTAGAACTGCACGCCCAGCAAAATTATTTTTTATAGATAAGGCATTTATAAATAAGTAATTTATAAATAAATAAATTAATATGTAAAAGTTATATTAATATATAATACATAAATTATATAATATGTATTATATATGATTATATAATATATTATATATAATTATATATTATATATAATATGATATATAATTATATAATATAAAAGTTATATTAATATATAATATATAAAATATATATGATTATATATATTATTATATATAATATGA